CTGGAATTAACATAGTGGAGTGGACTTCTAGTGGTTTGAGTATTCTCCTGTTAATCAAGTTGAATGGATTCGTTCACAGAGAAAAGAAACAGTGCTGGGTGAACGAATATTTCATGGTAAACGGGGGGGGGGGGGGGGGTCCCAAACAAATATTTTTAAATGTGAGGGGGACACGTCCCCTTCACATATAATTGTTGAGACACCTATGACTCCAACCATTAACACATCTTGCAAGATTTTGCCATTTCCCATAAGATTGTACATGCCCTGATCAAAATGGCTATAACTGTCCCCTTTTTATTAAAATATGATCTGGGTTCAAAACGCCAGCATGAAAAGCAGCAGTTGATACGAATTTCATCAAGAAATGTTAGGCCTTTCATTTATCATGTTAATAAATTCATGAAAATAGACACTCAGCTTTGTTTTAACATGTTACAATCTGTTCATGCGCTTGTAGAGTTTATAAAACGCTGTAACCGTCTGTTGCCATTACAGGAAAAGTACAAAGATGAACAATGTGGGATTAGTCACATCGTTACGCTTTAATCATGCAGGAACTCTGTGCTGGAGCAACAAGAAGTTATTTAAAACAGGAAAATGAAAGACTGCATTTCCCCCTCCAGTCATATCCAGCATCGTCTGAATCCACTGACGCTTAAGATTAAATTTATAAAGTTTCTCCTGATCAAAAAGGCTATTTGAATTTTTTCGAAATCGTGTATTTGCTGCTAGTTTTCATTCAAGTACATACTAGATCGTTATACAGATTAAAACAAAAGATCTAGACAGACTAAATCCCTAATTCTTTCTCACTTGAGCTCTTCAAGTGAGAAAGAATTAGATGTAGAAAGCTTTTAAGAGAGTTTTTGAAGCAGATGATAAAATGTTTGACAGAAAAAGATTCAGGAGAAGCATTCTTCAAACGCTGAATGACGGAGAATTAATGAAACCCAACAGAGAAGATCGTGCACGGATGATGTTTCCGGTCGATCTCATTTGAGATGCGCTCACGTATCCCACCCAACATGCAGCTTCAACACCGGCAATGAAAATGATCGCTGCACTAATTTATGAGAAAACTTGATGAAAGTAACAGAAGCATGACTGATTCAGTTGGTCTGGATCTGAATTAAATATTTGTATACGTTCTAAGACTTTAAGATTGCTCACAATTTATTCAAGAGATTTGTTCCCCCCAAAACAGTAGAGCTAAAGGATCAGACATCATGTTGAGCTAGGAGGAAATTCTACAACAAATTTATTTATTTCACTTTAAAATTTGTGCCCATATTCAGAGAAAATTATTGTTTTATTTCTTTTCTTGGTCTCTTTTTGCACCGAATGATAGAACACCTGTGAACAACCAATTTAACACTCAGAAATACATGTTGTATTCCGCTCAGAGACCACACTCGCTATCAAATCCAAAAGTCATTAAACTCTTATTTTTCTTCTGGTTTGTGAATGGGCCAAAGCTAAGCAGCTAATTAACAGTGCATCTTGGGTGTAAAGGTTTTAACTAAATGAAGTTAATTTTTTTGCTACTTCTGTTTGATGCAGGAGGCTCTGTCATTTATTTTGATGATATATTCAGTTGGTGCATTTTTAGATTAAAGGTGCGTAAAAAATAAGACTTAAAAAGCTATTATGAAGGAACACTGGTTTGTTTTCAGATGGGGTTTTTTGGGGATGAAGTGAGCTGCCCAGAGACTGCGACTTATATGGTGGTGAGATGTGTACGGCAGCAAGTATGATAAACGTTTTTACTTTAAACAAAATTATGAAGAACCAAACTTCCATCCATCTTTTACCCACTTCTTCCATTTTGGGTCACGGGGGTCGCCGGTGCCCATGTCCAGCAATCACTGTGTGAGGGGCGGGGTACACCCTGGACAGGTCTCCAGTCCATCACAGGGACACAAAGAGACAAATGAGACAATCATTCACTCTCTCACTCACACGCAGAGACAATTTAGAGTTACCACACAGACTAACATGCATGTTTTTGGTCTGTGGGAGGAAACCGGAGTACCCGGAGAAAACCCACGCATGCACGGAGAGAACATGCAAACTCTACCCAGAAAGGCCCCGGACCAGGATGTGAACCGGCAACCTTCTCTCTGAGAGGCAGCAGCTCTACCAGTTGTGCCACCGTGCTGCCCCAGCCAAACTTCCATCCAACTAAAAATGAATAAATTACATGTTTTATTTTTATTATTGTAAGTGTGAAGTCGGGACCAGCTAAAAGTGAACTCACCAGATCAGAGCTACACAGAAACAAGAAACGGCCAGAAAACTGGTGCATATTTACTTGTTAGTGTGACGTCATGTGATGTACAGGTAGTTTATTATCACTTTAATCCTGCATTTATTGCATTTAGTTTTTATCAGTACATCACATGTTTTACCCAACTTAAATACAAAAATGTTTTAGTTAAACAAATGTTGGTCAAGTCTTAACTTTAGTCTCAGCCATATATTTATTTATGATCTTTAACTTTTAACATTTAAAGTAGTTTGTTCTTAATGTGGTCTAGAAGTATAAGATAACTCATGTTTAAATGAAGGTTTTTAGACTAAACACTCAGACCCTCAGTGGGTATAATTCTGCACAAGTTAAAAATCAAACCACTGATGTGCAGTTCTGGCTTTATACCCAAATATTACCTAAATAACAAAATATACCCAGTTTTAGCATCAGACCAGCTGCAAAGCCAGAAGCAGTGCTGACAGGTTGTTTATTCCAACGTCCACCTCGTGGCTTTTAAACAGCTGGTGAAAAATACACCTTCCTGAGAGCAAATTATTTCTGCCAGCTGTAAAGCAAATTTCATTTCTCATGTCTCCCCAACAACAAAGATGCTGAACCCATTACAGGCTGGGGTGTGTGCATCGCACACATTAAATGAAGGGTTCTCCAGCAATCGAATTTTAAAAAAAAAGCCATTTTCTCATTGAGCCAGAAGATACTCCATTTAGTTCTGGGCTCTCTGTGGAGCACTGCTGCCTAGTGGGACTGATACTGGGGGAAAGTGAGTGTAGAGTGATGACCTGCCTCATCCCCCCCTCCCATCCCCATATACAGCTCTGGAACCATTGATATGGACGTGCTCTGCAAGGTGGATGAAGCAAGAACATATGGGGTGAGGAAGATGGGGACAGGAGGAAAAAAGGAAAAACAGATGAGATGATACAGGGAAGGGAAAAGCCCGAGAGTGGCTACAGGATGAATCAGAGGTGTAATTGGCTGCATGAGACACAGGGCCACTTCATCCTGCGTGCACGCCAGCTGATATTAAGGAAGAACGAGTGAAAGTGTGAAAATTAAAGAACGAGGGGAGAGACAGAAATCGGAGGCGTCCAACCATGTGGAAGCGCACTGATTAATTTCAGGTCGTTAATGAGTGATGCTCTGCCAAGCCAGGTGGCATTAAGTCAGTCGCCTCGTTTCTCGCAGCAGAAGCTGCAACGATTCACACATTTCTGCCTCCGACAAGGCTCGGCTGACACAGGAGCACTGAAAGCCACACTGCCTTTAGGTTAACGTGAGGGAAATAAACAATACATGAATGAAGACAATTAAAATCCCACTCTGTGTTTTCAGTGAGTGTGTAAGTGAAAAAAAGTACGTTACTGCTGCTGCACCCTTTATTCCACGCATCAATGTAGGTTTACAAAGCCTGTTGTTCACAGTTGTGTTTACCCTGAATCCATCACGCAGTTAAAAAAAAAAAAACTATTTTCATTTCCCAATATTCATGTGAATCAAGCAGAGAGGAGAGAACGGCTTCAGGCGGAGTTTAGTCATCCGTGTTGGCAGCTGCTCCGAACGCATCAATACTGCTGCTCCTTTCTTTCCTTGTACGTTTCTTTTCTTTCACAAGGCAACTGTTTCCTCGCAACAAGGTGAACAAACAGATCTCTGGTACCGGTTTCTGCGTGCCTCTGTCTCTCTCCTGCTTGAACAAATGCCTCTCATTTGATTTGAGAGTAGAAGTAACGATGCTTGAGGGAAATGAAGAGCAGAAACTGAGGATGCAGGGGTGTGCGCATCAGAACAAACTTATTTGTCAATCTGTCCAAATCTCCACCTTTCTGTCTGAAGCTGACGGAGACGGATGACTGTCAGAACCACAACTTGGAGCACCCTCACCTGGACACTGACTTGTGTTAATGCGTCCCTTGGAGACCATCTCCTGGGGGCGAAAAGGGATTAGAATTGGATACTAGTGTTAGAGTTCAAACTGTTTGCTCTCAATCTGCACTTTTCTGCTGATTACAGCTGCAAACTTCTCTCCATGACTCTTCAGAACGCTGCCTGAGTTCTCAGAGTCCTTTCTTGGAGCCACTGGATCCATTACATCTGCTCCAGTGGAGATCTGACAGGACACATGCAAGACATGTGTGCTTTTTTAAAAGAGAGGATGCATCCCTTCTGATTAACGCAAAGTGACAGTGAATTCCTGCCCTACAGCAAAAGGTAGTTCCGTCAGAGACAGATGTCCATCCGCCTCCATCTCTGCAGACAGACTCCACCGTGTTGGCTGAGTTCACCCCCCACCCGTGGGAAGGGTGCCAGCTTGGAGTCTGCTGTCAGGGATGCAAACCATCATCCGAAAAAACATACAAAGACTGAATCTTCATAAAACAATAAATAAGCAACTCACAAGATGGTTATTTAGGTTTTGCGCATAAAAAGAGAAATAACGAAATAAACAACATGCAAAAGGCATCTTAATATATATGTATATATTTTTAACAAAATAGTTTCACTTTGAATACTTTTTTGTTTGGGGTTCACTGTGGAAGAAAATACAACTTGCTCCAACAAAGTGGCACAACCCCCCCTGAGCAAACACGCGTTGTGTAAATGACAAGTCCATTCAACGCTTCGGACCCGACAAAAAGAGCAAATTATTTAAATTACATTCAGCCACCCTTCATTTCACACCATGTTGAAGTTAGAGACACTTCTCCAAAGCAGAGTGGTTTCTTACCTCACGAGCCGAACCTCTGAGATCAGCTCCTCTTGTTTTTCCTCTGAAAATGTCTCTAAAGCAGCTTATTGAGGAGCCTGGTGCGTTCAGGGTCAGATCAAATAAACCGCCCCTCACTTGAGATGTTCAGGGGACTGAATCATGCCCGACTAATAAATCCACGGCTCCGAGGTCTGCGGTCCGGGTCCAGACGAGCCTGCAGTGTTGGAGGGAGGCTGCTGTGCAAACAGTTTGCTGAAGTCAGAAAGCTGCGAGGCTCATCCTGCAGCCTGCTCTGCTCCGGGGGGGCGGAGACTCTCCCACGACTGGCGACGCCCCTGGATCCTCCTCTGATCCACTTCTGGACCAGAACTCTCGCTCAGGTTCAGTTCTGCGGTAGTTCGTTGATTCATTTTTTTTTTGGTCCAAGTAGGAAATATGTTTTTTAAAAGTCACATATGTATTTTTTCTTAATGCTGACCCTGAAAATGGACGAATGTTATGTTTTTGATTGCTACACAGGTACGGAGTTATGATTTTGAAGGTTTGGGGGCCACAGCCCAGAGAAATACAGTTAACAGTAGGGAGACGCAAATTCTGGACCGCAGTCCAAATCCAGACCCAAGTTATTTATTTTCTGGACACAAATCTGTTGTTTTTTTGTTTTTTTTAATTTGGCTGCTCCTTTCTTCAGGGCTCACCACAGTGAACTAAAAACAAATTTAAGGAAATTAGTTCAATTTGTCCTCCAGTAGTCTAAGCGTATAGCACCATAACAAGCCAACCCTAACTATAGGATTTATCAAAAAGGAAAGTCTTAATCCCAGTCTTAAAACTGGACAATGTGTCAGCCTCATGGACAGAAACTGGAAGTTGGTTCCACAAGAGAGGAGCTGGATAAATGAAAGATCTTCCTCCCATTCTGCTTTTGGAAACTCTAGGAACCGCAAGTAAGCCTGCAGTCAGAGCCAAGTGCTCTGTTAGGAAAATATGGAACAATACGATCTCTAATATACTTTATAAGATGGAGCTGGGTTGTTGAGAGCTTTGTAGGTTAGAAGTAAGATTTTGAATTAAATTCTGGACTTGACAGGGAGCCAATGGAGAGAAGCTAAAACTGGAGAGATATGATCTCTCCCACTAACTCCAGTTATTTACAATGATGAATTATAACACAGCTTTTCTAGAATTTACTGTAACAGATGTCTTGTTTCTGTCTGTAGGGAGAGCGAAGCCACTAACCCCGCAGAGGTAGGAGATAAGATAAGATAATATCAGATAAGATTTATTGATCCCACAGGAAATTGTTGTGCGACAGTACATAGGAACATACACAAGGAATCATCATTATCTAAGGTTAAACAACACCATTGGTAAAGAAAATCTGAATGGGTGCATCCCAAAATAAATAAATAAATAAAGAGAAGAAATCCATCCATCCATCCATCCATCATCTTTCACCCGCTTCTTCCATTTTGGGTCACGGGGGTCGCCGGCGCCCATGTCACTGTGCGAGGAGCGGGGTCCACCCTGGACGGGTTGAAAGTCCTAAAGAGAAGAAATATTTATGTAAATTTTTTCCAGACTGGATGGACTTTTACGCGCTCATTTTGAGTTCAAAACTCATCCGCCTTGTTCAGAAACAGAGACGATCACTAAAATCTGCAAAGCAAAGTGCTACTCCAAAATTAAACAAAATATATTTCAGCGGTCATTAAAATCTGACGTGAGGACGCAGAAAACAAAAGACTCATAATCCAGTTTGACAGACCCATTCACTGACTGTTTAGCATCATCATGAATAGATTAATCTCCAAACAATAGTCCTAATGGATTAACATAAATAATCCTAAACCTCAGACTGTTCATGACTACCATCTTGTTGATTTGCTGTGATCCAGCCACGTACCTGTAGGTAACTGAGAGCCCATCATCCCTTGTGAGGGGACTTAACCAGGAACACTTTCATTATCTTTGTTTTATTTTTCCAAGTTAATTAAATGTAGAAGGTTACGACAATGTTTTATTCAGCACAGAATGATGAAAGTGATTACAAATTGACTGACTCCTCAGTAGAAAAAAAAAAAAAAAGAGTTCCTTTGAAGATCAAGGAATTCACTAATAAACCTACAGAGTGTGGTGGTGTCGAGGGGTTAGTGCAGCGTCTCATCTGCCAAACATCAGGAGACTCACGTACCCACGTCTGCTTCAGTTCTTGAAGCAAATTAATAAATTAACAAAGACGTGAAACCAGAGCCTATATTAGAGTGCCCCGTTGTTCAGACAGAAACTTTATTCTTTTAAGGAAACGTTTTATGGGTGCAGTGGTTGGAGCTGTCGCCTCGAAACAAGAAGGTTCCAGGTTCAAATCCCAGCTGCAACCTTTCCGTCTGAGTTTTCTCCTGTTTCCTCCCACTGACCAGAAACATGCATGTTCAGCTAATGAACCAAAAGTGTCATCAGGTGTGAGTGGCTGACCTCTTCAGGGTGTACAGTACCAAAACTTTTGACCAGTGATTGCTAGAGATCAGCACCAGCTTCCCTGCCACCCTGCATGGAAAAGTGGATAAAGAAAATGGAAGGACATTAACATTATGAAGGTAAGCGGTTAGCACAGTTTTTATATCAGCAAAAAGGTCATAGGTTTGACTCCCAGCTGAGGCCTTTCTGCATGAAGTTCATATGTTCTCTCTGTTGATGTGTGGGTTTGTTTGTTCTGGGTTTCCCCTCACAGTCCAAAAACTTCCTTTGTAGACTTTGGGTTTTTCGTAGTGATGCACCGATCCACATTTTTTTAACTTCTGAGCTGATCCCATACCTACATCTGTATATCGGCCGATACCGATACCTTCACAATATCATCATCATCATCATTGATTTTACACGAGGCTGTAATAATCTCCTCTCAAGTACAATTTGTAAATATATGCATGCATGTCCAAAAAGGCAACATGAGGTAAGTTTTATTAATGTTGGATAAGTTTCAAAGTTAGAATTAAATCCGGCTAACACAAAACATGTTGTTGTTTTTTTTTATTCTTAGCTTTAAAGTGGATATTAAAGTGATTAAATGGCTTTAAACATCTGCTAAGTTCATGGCATATACCAACAGACATGTTCCTGTTTTTAGTATTTACATCACTTTATAATGTAGCTGTTTTTGCTTTGTTTATATACATACATATATATATATATATATATATATATATA